TAGAAAAAAAAAAAAAAAAAAAAAAAAAAAAAATAGAGTCAGGTTGGAACGGCAACGAGCTACCAATATATTCACGAAATAGGAAAAAAGAAAAAGAAAAACCGCATGCAGGGAAAAAGGGAAAAGAGTAACAAACAAAAACCAAAGCAAGAGAGAACACATCAGAAAGCAGCAGTATACAGAGTTGTAGTACCAACTGTGAGTCACCCACCGGAGAGAGAACAATATTACCATTTACTGTGGTGCTCGCCGGAACCTCCATCGTCTCCGGCTGCCGGAAATTCTCTTTAAGAACCACTGTACTCTCTCTCTCTCTCTCTCTCTCTACCCTTCTCTGTTTCTGTATGTTTTTCTATTTGATCTTCTCTTTACAATTTGTAAAGCTTCATACTTTATTTATTCCATGATTATTTCTTGTTTTCTTGCTTCCTATTTTATTCACCCTTTATGTGCAGTGTTACATAGAAAATTATCAATTAATTAATTTTAAAAAAATACCCAACAGCTTTCCGAATAAGAGCTCTTGGGTTGTGTTAAGGGGATTCAGCATATATTGTATGTACTTAAAAAATAATCTTGACCTTGTATATACAGTTTACTTTTCCAGCGCGCCTTCTAGCTCTGCCTCTAGTTGTAGTACTTGCTATATATCTAGAAATCAATTCTTTCTAGAAATATTGATGTATAGATTTTTATGCTAGAATCCTAATGATCATAACATAAGATTTGTAGAAGTAGGATTAATTGTGTCTTACAGTGGCTTACACCTTGAATTTCGCCTAGTTTAGTTGATCAATATTTTCTTCTAATACATGCAGTGCCCATGGTGGCATTATTTGCATTAAGAAAGTGTAACTTATGCAGGTAAATGGGAAATCAAAGGGAAAATTTATTCATTTAAACTTTAAAGAGAACCGATTACAAGATTATTGAAATTCATAAACCCAATCAACAATCAAGATTAAAATTACCCAAAAAGGAAATATCTTTACCTGCTCCAACTTGGTCCTAGAATTGAGAAGATGGACGTGAGGAAGAGAGAGAAGGGAAGGAAAGGTGATAGAGAGATAAGATCATTTGGGAATGTACCAGAATTTGGTTAAACTTCCCAGCCTACAACGACATCGAAGATAGTTCCTTATAGTTGTACCATGTGGATTGTGTAAAGGGTTGCAAAAGGTTTTGTAAAATCTTGCCTACTCCACCCACTGTCTTTAGGTTTTGGATTGGATGTCTGAATTTTCAACATGGTACTAGATCCAACTTTTGGTAAGCCCGTTCTTACTATATGTCCGCATCAACATTCACGGGTGCACTCCGGAATCTGGTTACACGTAGAAGGGTACTGAGTTAAATAGTTTTCCTATATGGACTGTGTAAGGGTTTCTCAAGGAGTTTATGGGGTTAGCTCTAGGATGACCAGTGGTTGAAGGAACTGGCCGTCCTCAACTGTCAAAGGCACTTAGTCACTGGCTGTACGTGACAACCTACTCTCTTCTTTAATTGGAAAATATGGAACACTGGATGTATCGGTGAATTAGTAGGTACTGCCAGCTTGTATGCCACGAAAGGCTTCATAGGGATCATAATGTTATGCATACATCTTAATGTTCTTTTGAAGGTTGATTCAAAAATTCTTAGCAATGGATATCTTGGCTCACGCATTGATGAAGAACATAGCGAAATGTGATACTTGGTGTGAATTGCAGAACCATGCGAATGGTCGAGTCTTTGAATGCAAGTTGCCACGAAGCTTTTAGGCCAAGTGCATGTCTCATGCATTGCATTGCAAAAAAATTGAAAAGAAAAAGTTGATTCAAGTTCAAGATTGGCTATAAGATTGCAACTTTAGATACACCTGTACCATTTCTGAAACCCCTTGTAACCTCCTTTCTACGTAAAATATTTCATTCTATTTGGGCTTAATTCAGATTATCCTTGATTGTCCGCATCATTTGTTGTCTCTGTTGTACCATATCTTCTCTTATACCATATCTTGGTCTGCTTGTAAAAGAGAACGTGGCTGCCCTGTCCAATGGACAGCCCTATGTGTGCAAAGTGTGATGTTGTACTCTTGAGAACAGAGTGGTAGTTATAATACCATCATTCTGCAATTCAATCCACTTACACTGTTGCTTTGTCTCTTTTTTAGTTTTTATTTTATTAGTTACGCCATTGTTTTGACCTTTGAGGTTTCATTGCCTTATGGTAGCCTTTTAAACACCTATTAATACTTTCATTCATTTGTTTACAAATGGTAGGCTGTACAATGTTAAGAGCAGTTTCCATTGCCTTGAATAGATTCTGTCAAGATACACTAGTAAAACCAGGATCCTCATATATGGAGATGGACTGTGGTAAACCATGCAGCTTATATACCTCCTGTAGGAAGGATTTTCAAGGCAATAAAAACAACTTTGTTCTGTCAATCCATCTTCACCAGTTTAACATCTTTGTTTTAGGAAGAGAGAAGACCTTTATGAAATCCATTGAGATTTTATTCCATGCATGAGCTGGTATAGTTGATGTTCATGGTAAAACAGGGTAGGTATGGCTTCTGACTTGGTTCTCTGACAAGTAATATTTTGACAAGAACCTCTATGCTTCTCCTTCATCTTAGGCCAATGGAATAGCAGCTAGATCCGTTTTGGTGTACTAATCTGGCTAGAATGACCCTCAGTCGGTACCTTGTGGGGAAAAAGAAGAGAACGAGCCCCAACCGGAGTTTGGCGAAGAACCTCGTCAATCTTTCTTCTCTTTTCTACTCTGGTGTAAATCCTCTTCTGGTATCTTCACATTTCACTGCTAAGAGCTTAACCCGGATCGCAATCAGGTTGTATAGTCAGTTCTGCTACAAGCTGCTGGGCTTCTCCATTTGAATTATAAGATGCAAGTATAATGAGGGACATACTATCAGATTCCTCCTAGTCTTTAGATCTCATATATAAGGCATCTAAAAACCCTATTCTCAAAGCCTTTCTTATATTGTACCTCATAGCCTATGCCTCAATGTAGCGCACCCCTTCTGCTGAAAGATTAGTCGCCTTCTGTTCCAGCAAATATTCCATGATTTCTATTCTGATTGATTTTCTTTTTGAAGATATATAATGGGTCCCTTTTAGTGTAAAGACATCTTCCATACCCTTCTATCTTGCGTGAGTTTCTAATATCAAAGTCCTGGAGAAGTATGATAATGTTAATACTGGTGCTTTGCTAATGGCTTCTTTGTGTTCACACGATGCTTTTTTGTGGTTCTTAAGTACATGCATTCTTCTTCAAGAGGTTGGTCAGAAACTTACTGATCTCCCCATAAGATTTTATAAACCCTTTATAGTAACCACTGAGACCTAGAAACCTAGAAGCTCTTCAATGCTTTGAGATTATTAGGTTTGGACCGAGAGACTATGATCTCTATATTGGATAGGTCAGTGGGTACACCTCCTCCTGTTATAATATGCCCATCTATCATATCTTCAGTTGAGAAAACGAGTACACATGACCTCTTTGTAAATAGTTGTTCCCGCCTTCCTATCTTCAGAGTCTGACTGAAGTGGCTAATCTAACCCTTTAAAGAGAAAATGTAGACTAATATGCCATTGGAAAAAGAACAACATGATTGTCTAAGCTGATTTTTGAAAAACTATGATTCATTAGGCTCTGAAATGTGGTTGGAACATTATTCAACCAAAGAACACTACCTTGAGGCTTGAACGTTGATGGGTCGTAAAACCTGTTTTACAAAAGTCAGATTCCTGCTTCCATTGATTTCTTAGATTGATGATATCCATCCCTCAAATCTATCTTAGAGTATAGCCTTGATCTTGCCAACTCATCAAGAAAAATCATTCATAAGAGGGACGAGAAATTTGTCTTTCACAAACACCTTCTTAAGCTATCTATAGTCAACACAAAGCCTCCATGACCCATCCTTCTTTTTCACCAAAAGGTCCTGATATAAATGGTGAATGTCTAGGTTGAAAGAAACCATTCTTAAGCATTTTAGCAACCAGTTCTTCAATTTCATTTTTCTGAAAATTGCTACAACTATAGGGTCTTATGCTCAGAGGTTTAGCCCCCAAGGTTTCAACGGTATAACACGATCTGGCATCTGTCAGGTCTTTGGTCCCTTAAAAGCATCTTGATGCTCCTCTAACACTCGTGTAATTTCAGTGGGAAACTCTTGTTGTTCTTTTTTCCTATTGTGCCTGGTGTGAGTATGTGTCAAATGGCTTGGCCTTTCCATATTAACTGGCCCATGATAGAAACTTTAATGGCTTGGAGTTATTTTACTCATTCAATCCCATTAAGAAATGGACACTAACTTGAAAGCTAGCTAATGAGGTGAGTATTATCCACGACCCCCTAAGGAGACAATAACCCCTTTTCTCAACCAATATGAGACACTTGAACAACCCCACGCCCAAGATTGTTCAATGGACCGTGGACAACATAATGTGGGGCTCAGCATGGGGAAACACAACAAGAGGGGTGAATGTGGCTCTGATACCATGTTAAAAAATTGATTTTGGGCTGGACCTTTTTTTTTTAAATTCTTTTTGATAACCAAGAAATCATTGAGGGTCATTTGGCACACGGTCTGAAACTCGACGGATAATGGGACCACCCTCTATCCTTCTCCACTTAAATACTAGGCTTTTATTCACAATAGAGTTTGAACTCTTGACATGCGCCTAACCCACACATTAAAGTTGCACTCATACCACTGAGCCAAAGCATTGTGGGCATGGATCTTGGGCCTAACTTAACTCCATAATCTTGCTTATAGGTGAGGTTTGTCCATGGCTATATAAGGAGACAATAGTCCATTCTTTCAACCGATGTGGAGCACACTAGCACTTTGTGCTCGTTTGTTCAAAGTTTTTATCATTGGATAAGCTGATTAATATTAATTCCTTTTTCAGATTATTGAAAAACGCAAACCGCGGCTTGGGAATTCTCTCTTTACCAGGAAAGAATTGTTTAGTGTTATTGATAAATAAGAAATCAAATGTTGGACTAATTTGAATTAACTTGAGGCGACAATGAAGTTATATACTGACGGACCTTTATGACTCCTTTTTCTCGTTTCCATTTTCATTTCCTTATTATGCAGTATCGTGATGGCTCTTGGAATTTATGTTGAAATTGCATGGAGTTCTCCTATTCTTCCTTGATGAGAATTTTATTGATGTTAATGTGTTTAAGTTGTGTTCAAATTGCACATGTGCCTTTGTGTTTGACAGGTTCGTGGTCTCAAATTATGAAGCCACACTCAACTGATGATTTAACCAAAGCCAACGCGAACAGTGAGAGTCGCATAAGAGAAAGTGAGTATGTGAGGCTTGTTATAAGAAGTGAACCAAGAATAGCTGAGGCAGATAATTTAGAGTCTCAATTACCAGCCAGAAAACGGTCTGCTGTGTGGTGTTTCAAGGCAATGATATGGTGTTCTATCACTGTAATTGTTCTTGTAATCTTCATAAAATGGGGACTGCCCTTTCTTTTTGAGAAGGTATTTCATCTCACTTCGCTTATGCCTTTGTGCTCTGTGTAAGCAAATTAGCATGTATGAGATTTCATTTTAACAAATTCATTGCATTCTAATGTAACCTATGACATGTCACTACTGAGAAGAGCATCAGTCACGTGTACCTGTTTTCTAAGGGCGCAAAACTAGAGCTTTCTTTAAAAACTTCGACCAAGGTCTAAAAATAGGGACAATCGAGAACTTTTAAGAACTTTTGCAGTCGAGAAAAAATAATTCTATATGTTTCATGTTGTTATGAGAAGGACGGTGGAAATGAAAATGATTCTGTGCAAGTTTCCATGTTTAAGAATCTTGATGTAGCTTTCAAAGGCGTCTGCTCTTGCAAGTTGCAACAAATGGTTATTCTCTTTTTTTTAGAAGTAGAGTTTCATAGTAAAGTCAATTTTCCTTCTTATTTTGTGTTCCAACAATGCAGTACTTAGCTTTATCATCTTGACACCATCGAATACTTGACCACCACTGTCATTTAATATTGGTATCGAATTCTTAATGTTTCTTTTTACATAGGTTCTCATTCCATTCCTACAATGGGAATCCACTGCATTTGGCCGTCCAGTTCTTGCCCTCGTACTTGTAGCTTCTTTAGCTTTCTTTCCAGTGGTCCTACTTCCTTCTGGACCATCGATGTGGCTCGCAGGAATGATCTTTGGATATGGTCTCGGATTTGTCATAATCATGGTTGGAACAACAATTGGGATGATCCTGCCATACTTGATTGGTTTGCTTTTCCGAGATAGAATTCATGTAAGATTGCTTACGTTTTATCTAGTCTCTACTGATTCATCAATTTTAACATTTGCCAATTGACATTTCCTCCTTATCCTACATATGGCATATTTGATCTCATCTGCAGCAATGGTTGAAGAGATGGCCTCGGCAGGCGACCTTGGTTAGATTGGCAGGAGAAGGAAGTTGGTTTCATCAATTTCGTGTGGTTGCATTATTTAGGGTTTCTCCATTCCCATACACAATCTTCAATTATGCAGTAGTAGTTACAAGCATGAGTTTCTGGCCTTATTTATGTGGATCAATAGCAGGAATGATTCCTGAAGCCTTTATATACATCTACAGGTAAAAACCCTGCCTATCCCTACCCCTTTCTATTCTATCAATAAAATGGTCATTCCTTGTACAATTAATTTTTTCTTCCTGCAATTTTTCTGTAGTGGTCGGCTAATAAAGACATTTGCTGATGTCCAATACGGAAACATCCACCTGACTCCAGTTGAGATTGTATATAATGTAATTTCCTTCATCATAGCAATCATCACAACAGTAGTTTTTACGGTGTATACGAAGAGGACACTGGATGAACTTGAAAGGGCTGAAGATATTGAGGGTGAAGGCTCTGTATTTGACAATGGCAAGCTAGAAATGGGGCCGCTTCCCAGTGGTAAAATCATGCGTTTGGATTGAAAATAGGGACAACTTTCATGCCAAATGCTGTTGGAGGGAATATATTTCATCTTTTAGTAACAAGGGTCTCCGGCCTGGGATATCTAAGGAGCTTAGTGTAAATAAATTTAGCACAGAGGCCTCCTTTTATATCCTTCCATATTTGTAATTACAAAATGAAAAGGGGAAAAAATAAAGAAGAAAAAGTTTTGCATAAAGCTGTGATGTCTAACTAATTGATTTTATTCTTTCACCAAGTAATGATAGTCTAACTTTGTTACAGAGAAAACAATGGTTCCCTGAGAATGGATGAGCCTGTTTTTGTCTTTAGTATATTGAAACTATTGTTTGTGAAAGGCTAACTGATTACACCAAAGATCAAGGTAACATAGGCTTGTTTTGTTGGCAAAGTTCAGCAGATGATGAGATATGCCTTCAATGACTGCTTGTGCAAGTATTTGATACTGTGAAAATAAGTTAAAATATTTTTTACACTGTTGGTACATATACTTGAACTCTATGGTTAATGTGAGACATTTGGGTAGTGGGGTAACGACTATGAACATTTGTCATCAACATTTAAAGGGGGATATAAATGAACAATTTTAGGGTATAGACCTCAATTAAATCTTAGGTTCAAGTCTCTTGAAGAAAGAATTTGTGTGGTTATTATGGAAATTTATAGTATAAATCATGGAAAGTCGATAGAATCCCATTTCTTTCCTATGCTTTACTTCTTAAGTCTTTCCTTTCAGTCATCTAGTTGCATTTTTTTTTTAAACTTTATTTTCGTTTCTCTAATTTGAAGTTCCTAACTGTTACTACTACGTCTTTTTTTATCTAGATTTTCAGCTTGAAAGAATCTTTAGTAGTTTCTACATTATTCAGTTTTAAAAGATATTTTTAAAAAATTTGCATGGTTTTGGTAGTAAAGTTGAAATACCATGATGTTAAAATAATTTGTTGAGTTGAAAATTTTTCGACACTCTAGAAGAAAAGGAAAAAAAAAGACATTTAACATTTTAACTTATTATTTTAGAAGTAGTAAAGTTGCGAGCCAAGAGCTCAGGCAGACTAGATTTCAAGGCAAACTACTCATTGCAGTTCTCTCAATATTAGTTGGTATAATTTGCTGCAGCGATGCTAATATCTATGTTAGTATCTATATATCTATAGATTTCAAGGACTATTCCTTGGTCTCTAATTGAAATTTGACTCCAAGGCGAATCTCAACATATGAGACAAAGGCTCACATTCAGATCCCATTGATCTGTCGTAAATGCAAAAGATTGCATCTTTTGTATCCTTACCATCTGAGTTTCATTTCTACGTATATAAACTGCCAAATATAAAGTAAAATTACTATTACAACAAGACGGTCAATTTGGTATAACTATCAGGAGGAATGGCCTTAACATCCACTAACATGCTAGCATTCCTGGATCTATTACCCTACTAGAGAGCATAGATTGCCAGGGCCACTAAGTGGACCAATCCAAAGATGACCATTGACAAACATATCGAGAGTACGAACAGTTGAAATTAGTTTGATACAACATTCAATGCTAATCAAGTACATGACTAGCAATACTTGCAATTTACTTACAACTGAAGACAAATTGACAATCTTTGGAAATCCAATTCACAAGCTTGATTATTAATGTCATGGATTTCCCAATGCAAGGTCATGCCATGTATCCCCATCAACTTGTTGAGCCTCTTGATCTGCAAACGGATACAACTCAATCATCCAAAAATGATAACTGACAGGAAGTAGCCAACATGAAAATAACCAACAAAATAAACGAGGCAAGAATTCCTCAGATGAGGAACATTGAAAACATAGTAATTCTGATCTGTTAACTCATTAATATGTAATATTCCTGATATCATAACTCAACAAAATGTGAGTGAACCAGGAAATATTTAAACTGGATCATGTATAGATAATATTTGAAAGAATTACAGCCCATGTCACTTGGCCTAATAGCCCAACCGAAAATGGCCCACATTTGAAGCTCTTACCCTATTTAGAAAGAAATTTTTCAGCCTTTAGCCCACTATTAAAGACATAGTTTTAGGGTTTTTATTATTTTCTTCTTTCTTCATTCCCTTCTCTCTCTCACCGCCTCTCACTTCTTTCTTTCTAACCCACATAGATCCCTCATCCTCTCTTAAATTAGCCATTAGCAATGTATTATGCTTCTCTTACAAACACACAACATCTGCTACATATTTGCCTCCCCCTTTTCCGCAAATTATCTTAGTCAATAGCTGAAGCAACTTCAATTTGTGAGGAGCACAGCAGCTTTATTCTCCCTCCTCTATCCCCCACGCAGTTCTGCCATTAATGGCTTAAGAAGGCTCGGGCTCCTACTCCGTCGTCCATGGTGGCAAGCAAAAGAATATTGAAGATTTTTGAAAGAAACATGAAAATACACACAGATCTGAAAATAAATAGCTCTCAAACTTGATTTGCACGAAAAAATAACCACTAATGTTGGAAAATTTTGAAGTTTGAAGTTCTGGTCATTATTATTATGACCTTGAAGTCTCGAATCTGAAATTGGGTTTGTATAAAAATCATAACTATGTAGCAGTTTGTATCAACATTGTATACTAGTGTATAATTGTGTATATGGATATACAAACACCTCTTATACACTATTATACATGTTTATACAAAGTTATACAGTATTGTATAATTGTGTATAAATGTGTATATTTGTGTATAATATTGTATAATTATATATTTTTCAGTTTATAAGGATGTATATACATTGTTAGTGTGTAAGAGGCCTTTACAGAAGTTTGACACTTCTTTTTTTTTTTTTGAATTGGTAATTATTGTATATATTATAACAATCAGTACATAGGTTGCACTGAAAACCAAATTTACATAGAGAGA